TGACCAAGTGCAAATAGGTACTAACAACTCTCCTTGAAGCATTATTATTGAATAAATAACGCTATTGTAAAGTAAGTTTGAGTTTTCACCGAAGTTATCTTTTTGGTTTTGCATTATCTTATCTAATTAGGCATGCAAGTTGTGAGTTAAAGAGAGTAGTAAGGAAGAAAATATATCATTCAAGGCATATTTTCCTCTTTGCATCAATGGATTTGTTGTTTCGTACATATTCGCCATGCACAAGGCATTTCTATGAACTCTATTCATTTTAGTTTCCTGGTGCTTAGCACCCCCACCCCGACATATATATATATAACCAAAAATGAACAAAACAGGCCCAAACAAAAAGCGAAATTAAAGACACTGCATAAATTAGAAAGAAAAAGGATCACCAGGGTACAGGTTATAATGGGAGATATAAATTGTGTCCTGGGTTTTGGAGGTAACTGCGGAAGTATGACCCACATTGCGGTGTGGATATCAGTTCTTAACCCCATTCGCCACTCTCACGTGTTGAAGGAAACAAAATAAATTAATCAATCATGAAAAAAATGTATAAGTTAGATGTGAGAGCTTAAGCCCACAACGTCCCACATATATATCACCCTTCACTGTCTGCAGACAGATGCTGGAAGGTGACTGTTCTCCAAAGTAATGAAATAAAAGAAAAACAAAAATAAGGTTCTACTATTGGGATAAGTAAGATAAACTTACGTCCTGATGTTGGCATTCCAACCTCCACTATAGCAGTAAAGACCTAAGCTAATAAGTTAATTAGTAGTACAGTAGACAAATTATACAAGTATTAAAGCCCAACCAAGTTTTCTAAACTAGTATAACTCTCAACTATCATTCATTAAGTTTATTTGTACAGTTTTAACTTATATATATAGTATATGATGACTGATGCATTTGTTTTCTTTTCTTCAACATGTGAAATTGGCGAACAGAAGTTAAGACTGATAGACAGTGTATCCCCGCCGCAATCTGGGTTCTACTTCCGCAGTCACCTCCAAAACCCAGGACACTTTTTATATCCATATTATAACCTGTACCCTGTGGATCCTTTTGATTTACGCAGCGTCTTCAATTTCGTTTTTTGTTTGGGCCTGTTTTGTTCATTAAAACGTCGTTTATCATAGGTTTGGATTTGCTGTTTTTAACACACATTTGATTTGATTTTTTACTTTACTGTTTAAGTATTAATTTTCTATACATATAGAAATGTGTGTATTATTTAACGACTTATTTTAAGTGGATCCATTTTAATGATGATTACAAGTTGGTATCAAGAATTAAGACAATCAAAATCATTCAAGAGTTAAAAGTAATGTTACGCCTCCAGTCGTTAACTGATTTTCCGTAACTTCGTTCCGACAAAACTTTAGCGACACAAGTCCTTACTTAATAAAACTGGTTTATTCTTTCTGAATATAACTTTACCGATACACTTATTTTCAACAGTCGCGCTAAAACAAACGCTATAACGAACTTCAACAATACTTCCTGACTGCAGTTCAATTACTCACTACCTACACACACATTATTGTCCCGTCACGTTGTCACCCTCTTATATATACCAGACTACCCTATATCTAGTAATCTCCCGACAATTCACGAAGGTACAAGATATTTCCAGAAAGCAGGGGGCGTGACACTAGTCACGTGACCTCGCTGACGCAACAGTAAGTTGTTAGTTAGATAGACACATTTTCTTCTTTTTTAAACATTCGTGCTGAATAATTTTAACTACGATAAAATTTCTTCGCTCCGCTGCAGGGTTCAAAGATCCCCTCGTGATTTACAGAGACCCTAATGTACCGATCAATCTTCTCTATTATTCACAATTACTGCTATAGCTACCACAAGGGCATTGAAGAAGTATGAACATATTTTTATCCATGGTGCCTTCTTGAAATGTACAACTCTAGAAAACTGCAATAATTAAGTTTTAGCAGAAAATATGATTGAAAGTAGACAGAGTTAAAATTGTTATTATTTTAAAAGTTTACTTGTACAATAGCTTGAAACAATGAAACTTACACAACTTCTGAAACATTATCGAAAATTCAAATTTGTTATATAATAAGTGTTTGTATTTCTCCAATAAACCACCTAGGTTTTGTTTTTAATATGTTTTTGAACCATTTCTTACATCTGCACCCACCAAATCTTTGGGCAGTTCAGTGTCTAGCGATACCACAATGCTCGTTACAATAAGTACAAAAAGGTAATTTGCCGTGTCTTATTATTTTCTTCTTACTCGAACGCTGGAATACGAGCTTTTGAAACTACGTGTTGTTTTTATGGGTTGCTGTTTATACTTGAAACTCGCATACAAGTCATGGAAAGTACTTGAGATGAGAGCTTCAAACTAACGCGCATCTCTAAGATAGAAGAGTATTTTCTTGCGTCACGAATGACGAATTCGTTTTTAAGTTACAGGCTAAAATATTCGAAAGTGTTCACAACAGAAGTCTCCACAAATAATTTTTTATAGTGTATGTAATATTTATAAAATATTAATAATGCAATGGGAAATACATAACATTATTTTGTACTAAAAAGTATTAAGAGTGGAATACTGCCTTAAATTGTCTCGTTATTTTCTATATCTTTTCCCCCTTTTAACAGTATGATGAGTGAGATAAGTATGTTTCTTTTTTGTCTTCCCTCACTGGTTCAGCCGTAACTATCTAGGCTTATAACATTAAAATCGGGTTTCGATACCCGTGGTAGGCACAAAACAGAGAGTCTCCTGTGTAACTTTGCGCTTGACGACAAAGACACAAATTTATTTCTAATATATTTTTTAATTTCCTAAATTCTAGGCATTTTAAGTGGTTTGAAATAACGATAAAGTTTTTTCTTGTGAAAATTGCAGAAGGCGACCTCTAACAAAGATAATTGACTTAACGACGTGATTTTACTATTATCAGTATCTAGTCGTGATTCATAAGAGACAGAAGTAGAACAAAGTAAGTGAAAAGATGAGAATAATTCAGAGTGTTTTTTGCCAGATTTATATTTTAGATAATCTTGTTATTCTGTAATAATTATGCTACGAGGCGTAATCGCAACAGTTGGATAGAAGGACCAGTCATTTAGCATGTAAAGTCAACACACCGTTCCAAATTCAACTCACAAGTTACATAATGCTAATAGTAATATTATTACTATTAGTAATAGTATTAAATGTATATAATATAGATAAACCAAGCTTTCTCAGCTCACAGTTTCAGTTTCAAATGGATTTATAAGGTAACTAAATTTAAACATCGAGTTATGCAAACTATGTTATTGTTAATTAAACTTGAGGTAAAGTATCTTTATAATTTGGGGCTTGTATTGAGTTTTAAATATTTTTTGTACGAGTACACAAAATATGAATCACATTCATAGTTGATTTTCTATCAGTGGTTTGCTTGGTGTTTTTATTTTTTTATTTCATTGGATTTTTATCAATTGATTTTACTGATTGTACTCTAGAAATGAGGTGAACCACAAGATGTATTTTTATTTTAACTCAGCTAGGACACTTATCTTTAGACTTTATATTCTAACAAATCATTTGAAGTTTATAGTTTGACAGTTCTGATGTCTTAAGGGAAGTAATGGAATCTTTGTGTGGAATCACAAAATTATGCATTAAACAATGATATTAGATATTTTAATACTAATTATAACCTTGAGTGGAATGTTGTTAAACCATATGTTAATATACTGAGATATTACACTCAGCTATAAAAGTTAAAAATATTCTACTTATTATAACTAATAACAGTAAATTAAATTAGTTTTTTTTTTCATTACTGGGTTATTGCTTAGTTCTAATCTACATATGTCTTTTGCTGCGATCAGATGTTAATATTGAATAAATTAAATGTGTAGTAATAAATTAATTACATACAGGATGTTTAACATGTGATGATTGAGGAGATTCAATAAGTGATAACTTGAGTATAGTGTTTTAGAATATATATATTTAAGGGTTCAATAAATATGTATTCTTAAATAATTTCTTGATACTTGATACAATTAAAAGGTCAACCATCTCATAGCTGTAAATAAAAAACCTTGCTATCAGCACCCTTTAATGGCCTGATTTCCTTTCTAATACTCTGTTGCTTTTAACTTAAGAAATCTATTCCCTTCCCATATACCTCTCTCGGGTGGCACTGAAAATTCATTGCTGCTGTTGACTCCTTTTTTTTTTTTTTAGTATTAGTAGGATGACTAATTTAGGTCAGATCCTTTCTGCATTTGATGCATAGTTTTTGGCCTGGAATCAGTAGTTTTTTCACCATGTTCTAATTGCTTGTGCGTAAATCCTTTGTGTGTGCTTTGGTAGGATGTAAGTTCTTTGGGTTCTAACATTTTTGGAGGCTGGTGTAGTTGTTGAGGAGCCTTTAATGGTCCGAACATGCACCAACTTTGGCTCCAACAATCCTTCACTTCTAGCTGAATCAGCTACTGTTCATGTGGTAGAAGTTCAACTGTATACTGATACTTGTCCATTGATATAAATTCTTAAGTCTGCATTATTTAAGAGTATAATTAAATTTTATTTCTGTTTTACATATCAGTAGTTAACACAATGCAGCATCAATATACTGAACTATTGGGATGCATTAGAGGTGCACGTGTTTTACAGACTGGCTGAACCCTCTATCATCTCCAAGTTGATTTTCATTTCTATGTATTCCTAAGTTTATCAACCTTGAATCTACAATGATACAGTGTAATGAACCCAGGCTGATATTTGGTATATGATATTTGGTACAAACTTGGGGGGGATGTTGTGAACTTTAATATCCAACCTATGTGGGGGCTGACAGTCCAAATGAGGCCAAAGTTCTGGTTTCGATAAGATGGTTAGAATATGAAGAGAGCTTTCCAGGAGTAATTTACATTTTACTGTAGCATTTAAAATAAAAATGTTATTTATATTTTTATGTGATTGGTTTCATCTGGAAACCATTTCGGTTCAAATATTTGGTGACTTCTCCCACAATAGCTATTTGACCCAGAGACGTGAAACTTGGCAGATTCATGTGTCTCTACGAGACCAACATTCTTGCCAAACAGCATCAAGATACATAAAATTTCACTTTTTAGAGAGTAATTCATTTGTTATGGATTGATCCATAAGCTTCAAACAGCAGTAACATGTACTCAAGATAAACAGGTTCCAACCAGGTAAGTTGAGAAAAGAAGGTGGGCTTATTGAAGTTTACAAGATTATTTAGGGGAGCAATAAGGTAAAGGTTTTTGTTGTATTGTTAAGATAATTGGATAAAATGAAAAGTTTAAGATTTGACAAAAAAAATGCTAAGTTAAGACAGTTTTATTTTTCCAATGGGGTGATTAGTTAATGGAATGAGTGACTGTTGACCGTGGTTGAAGTTAGCACTTTACAAGAATTTGAGAGTGGAATAGATAATTTTCTGAAGAATAAAGGATGTGTTTAATTTCTTAATTTTTTTTAAGGGTAAGAGCACAGGGACAGCTTTGAAGGACCAGGTGGTCTCTTGTTATCCATATTTTGATGTTAATCATTGACTTTTATTTTGTCTCTTGATAACTCTTGAAACCCTTGACATAAGCTGAAAATATTTGAATGGTTTGTCTTGAGATGACATATTGCTTGAACTTAGACATTATTAGCTTGTAAATGAATGAAAATATAACCCAAGTTTTTATTCATTTTAGATTACGTTTCCTGAAAAAACAAATGATCGGCAGTATTGTTGCATGATGTAACCATTGATAGTGACTTGTTAGTTTGTCTTCCACAAATATTTTAAATTTTAAGAGACTGATTACAAATCATTCAGAATTTATTCTGTTTTAATACAAATAAAAACAAGGTCAAACTAACAAGCCATATGATATATATATCCCTTATACCTACAAAATATAATTTTTAATATTTTAATAAAGTTTCTTTATATCCTCATTTGGGAAGCTCATAGATGACATCACTAAACAAAAGGTTTAGGTTTCGTTTCTATTTTCGTAGTTAATTGTCAGGTGATTTTTGTATTTGATAATACAGTAGATAAAAGTTTAAATGGACAATTAAGTGGCACATTCTAAACATGCTAAAATCTTTTAGAAACGATATGACAAGTATCAGTCACTGTTTTCCATTAAAATAAAATTGAGTGAACCTCATTCGCTTGTTAATTATAGTGTGGCTATAAGCCAAAGGGATGTGCCGGTTTTGCGAGTCATATGTAAATGTTTATATTGGCTTCTTGTTACTTTGAAAATATGAACAACATGAGAATATGAGGGGGATTGATTGGACACGGACTGACCCATTCAGACCCAGTACCATCAAATTGAGTGTAATTGACCTGACATGGACTGACACAGTACCAATAACATGAAGTTACATGATTCTAATTTCAACCTGATTAATGTAATTTTTGCACCTCCTTACTGATACATCTGTTTGTACAGTGTTATGATTACTATCTGTGTAACTTCTAACTTAGTTTTAGAACTGATACTTTTGTAATTAATTTATACCAAATTTAATTTCTCTGATAAATTAGTTATTGTTATTAAAATTTAAATGTGACCTATAGCGTGGTTCACTAAATGTGACCTATAGCGTGGTTCACTAAATGTGACCTATAGCGTGGTTCACTAAATGTGACCTATAACGTGGTTCACTAGATGTGACCTATAACGTGGTTCACTAGATGTGACCTATAACGTGGTTCACTAGATGTGACCTATAATGTGGTTCACTAGATGTGACCTATAACGTGGTTCACTAGATGTGACCTATAGCATGGTTCACTAGATGTGACCTATAGCATGGTTCACTAGATGTGACCTATAGCATGGTTCACTAGATGTGACCTATAACGTGGTTCACTAGATGTGACCTATAGCATGGTTCACTAGATGTGACCTATAGTGTGGTTTATAGTTACTTGGACACACACTCAAGATTTTGATTAGAAAACACTCCTCACATTTTAGAACAACGAGTATGAAATCTGGAGGAAAAGCATCAATAAATACACTTTTTTTTTAAACAAGTTTTCTATTAAGTTTTACTACAACACAAGGTGATGTATCTCCTTGATTATGTTTTAATTATATTCATGCTCATTACACTTGTATTACATGAAATAATATAAGTCTGGTCAAATTATTAAATTACATCTCCCACAGCTACGGAGACAACAATACTTTTTGAACATTTACATCTCCCACAGCTAAGGAGACAACAATACTTTTTGAACATTTACATCTCCCACAGCTAAGGAGACAACAATACTTTTTGAACATTTACATCTCCCACAGCTAAGGAGACAACAATACTTTTTGAGCATTTACAAGTAGGTTTTGTGCAATGAAAATTTTGATGATAATAAATAAAATATATGTGGTTCACTAGATGTGACCTATAGCGTGGTTCACTGTTATAGGTCACATCTAGTGAACCACGTTATAGGTCACATCTAGTGAACCACGTTATAGGTCACATCTAGTGAACCACACTATAGGTCACATCCACTGAACCACACTATAGGTCACATCCACTGAACCACACTATAGGTCACATCCACTGAACCACACTATAGGTCACATTTAGTGAACCACACTATAGGTCACATTTAGTGAACCACGTTATAGGTCACATTTAGTGAACCACGTTATAGGTCACATTTAGTGAACCACGTTATAGGTCACATCTAGTGAACCACACTAAAGGTCACATCTAGTGAACCACACTAAAGGTCACATCTAGTGAACCATGCTATAGGTCACATCTAGTGAACCACGCTATAGGTCACATCTACTGAACTACACTATAGGTCACATCTACTGAACCACACTATAGGTCACATCTACTGAACCACACTATAGGTCAAATTTAGTGAACCACACGAAAGGTCACATTTAGTGAACCACACTATAGGTCACATCCACTGAACCACCACTATAGGTCACATCCACTGAACCACACTAAAGGTCACATTTAGTGAACCACACTATAGGTCACATCTACTGAACCACGCTATAGGTCACATTTAGTGAACCACGCTATAGGTCACATTTAGTGAACCACGCTATAGGTCACGTTTAGTGAACCACGCTATAGGTCACATTTAGTGAACCACGCTATAGG